AGTCGCAAGCGACTTGATGGCACATAACAACAGCTACATGCTGAAACTTTCATTTAAATGTAATCATATAATCATTTAGTCTCACATGATTGGCTTCCTTCATGTAGCATATTTTCAAAGTTCATCCGTGTATTAGCAGGTATTTATTTCCTCATTTCCTTTTTATTTGATAAAAGTGGTTTGCTTACAAAGTTTGTATGCATATTTTCTCCCATGGGATTTTTCCATTTCCTTTATGCACCTCTCTCTCCCCATCAAATTTTGCAACGCTGTGATTACCCCTCCTCCCCCCCCGCCCATCCTTACCCCTCTGCCCCCACCCTCCCCTCCTTGGATCCTCATACATGTTTTACTAGTTATCTTCCTATTTCTATAATAATGGTCTTAGTATTTGTCCTTATGGGACTGAGTTAGTTCACTTAGCATAATGCTCTCTAGTCCCTCTCAAGTTACGTTGTGATTTTAAAAAATCACTATTTCTGCGTGCTGCATAGTATTCCACTGTGTGAATGTACCACAATTTCTCAATCCATTCAATTGTGGTTGGACATTTGGGCTATTCACATGTTCTTGCGATGGTGAATAACACTGCTACTAACACTGGTTTACAAATTTCCATTTGTGCCTCAGTTCTCATTTTCTTGGAGTATATTCCAAGCAGTGGAATAGCTGGATCATATGTAATTTGTATGTTCAGTTTTCTTAGGAAAGACCACATTGCCTTCCTGAATAGTTGTACATTTTACAATCCCACCAACAGTGTGAAAGAGTTTCTATCTTACCACATCCTTTCCAACATTTCTTACTTGCTGTCCTGTTAAACTTTGCCACTGCTACTGGGGTGAGATGGTTTCTCACTGTGGTTTTGATTTGCATTTCTCTTATTGCCAGTGATTTTGAGCATTTCTTCAAGTGTCTGTTGGTCATCTAAATATTTTCCTCTGTGAAAAACTTTTCATGTCCTTTGCCCATTTTGTATTTGAATTATTAGTCTTTTTCTTATGGAGGCCCTGTAGGATTCTGTAAACTTTTGATGTGAGACCCTTGTCTGAATTGGTATTGCCAAATGTTTTGGATTCCACCCCCCACCCCACCCCCAGTCAGTAGGTTTTCTTTTCACTCTTTTTGACGTGTGTAAGGATTTAAGCTTTAGAAGATCCCATTCATCAATTTTATCCTCTCTTGGCTGTGTATTTCTGGCTGTCTTTGTCATCCTTTTTATACCATGAGCTAGGACTTCTATTTTAAGCACTTGTTTGAGTCAGTGTGTCAGTGTCTGTCTATCTCTCTGAGGAGCTTCTCCTCCTCCTCTGACTCCTTACCAAATAGCAATTTTTTCCCAAGGATTGGACCATCTTGTTAACATGTGCAGTGTATACAAATAAATACATAGAAATAACCTCTGCCAACCCTATGTAGTACCTGTGGGTGCACTCTGAGTCTAGCCTGCAATCGTCATGAGAGCAGACCACCTGGCCTTTCTTCCGTGGCCCAACATTCGGGCTCAGTTGCCTGTGGAGGACTTAATTATTGTGACACCAAAGCTCCTTATGGAGAGCACTGTCCCTTACTTTCAATTCCGGCTCTTGCATATTTGTAAAAGTTGTTAGTTTATCTTACAGGAATCTCATGCCAAACCAAGGAATAGGTGTTATTTTCTATAAGGGGAAACTGGGGCACAAAGAGGTTGAGAGTTTTTGGTGGGTTTTTAAAAATTTATTTCTACTCCTCCAATGTCACACTGCTAGTTAAGTAATAGAATTTGGCCTTAAAAAGAGATCCTCTGATTTTCAAGATTTGCCATTAGTCTGTGTAGCTGATGGTGTACAGGCCGTTAATAGAGTTTGTAGACATCAGAGGTAGCAATGAATCTTAAGAGAAAAAGATGTATTTGAGAGATGGTTGACAACTTTTTCTATTGTTGTTGTTGTTAAGTGCCGTCAAGTCATAGGTGACTCATAGCAAACCTATGAATGAAAATCCTCAACACTTGTGTGACTTTCATCCCTTCTCCAGGTTTGTAGGGTTTCTGGAGGCAAGCTATTATGTAAGTGGATGCCACTCTTACTTCCAAGCTTGTTTTAATTGGGGAGCTTCACCAAACACTGTCCACCATGGGTAACCATTAACACATTTGACACATCAGTGTCACAGTGTTCAGCTTTTCAGCAACCACAAGTTACCACTGTATGGCAAGTGGACACACCAGGGCTATACGACCTAGAAGAATGCTTGAACAAAAACAGGTCTGAGGGCCGTGGATTAAAAGTCACCCACCTTTGGTTTGGTAGCATCAGTTTCTGTCCACTAGGCCAACTAATCACTCTCTATGTTGATGTTAAAAAAAGATCAGTTTGGGAGCTGTTTGGAAACTTTTCAATTAGAGTGAATCATATGAACTTACAGCTACTTGATGATTTTGACTGAATTAAGGACGATTCTATGTGACTGCAATGAGGTCAATGTATCAGAGATGATGAGGACGGTATAGGATAGGACAGGGTTCAAATCTGTTGTTCATGGGCTCACTATGAGTTATACTTGACTCAGTGGCTGGCATGTAACAACAACAACAGTTTTTGAGGTACACACCCCCAGAGCCTAGCCTTGAGGAGAGATTACTGGATTTGCATCAAATGGACAGTTGATTCCACAAGACAAGCATGTTTATGTGACCCCAGAACAGAATAGAATCTTCTAGGTGGAGGTCTTTAAGGAGACTCTTGTCTCTGTAGTCCTTTGGTAGAACTGTAAAGTGGGGAAAGAGCAGAAACAGCTACTCCCTGACAAGCTCCAGTGCTGACACCGGAACTGTGGTTGACTGTGAAGACCTTGTTGATGGTTACAAGCAGGAGTAAGGTGGGAGCTGAACTGTGGTCCCGCAGAGCCTCACCAGAGTGGAGGGGTAAGGAGCAGGTTGGAGGAGTCAGTCAGGTTGCCATGTTTCCCCTCAGAGTGACTAAGGAGCAGACAGGCCATGACTCTCCAGAACCTTCTGAGAACAGCTTGACACATGACAAGGGAGGGCAAGGTACTTAGATTGAATGTATTGGTGGTTTTGAGGGATATATTGTCATGGGTGAGCTTGTCGGAGGAGGATAAAGGTGAAGATTAGGGGACATTCTATTCTTTTGAGGAGAAGCCACTTAGTTCCTCTAGAAGATACATCTAGGAGTTGCTGTGATTGAAATAGGAGTCCATAGGTAAATATTCGAGTACTTGTCTGCTCACCAAAAGACTGGTTGTTCAAATCCACCCAAAGATGTCTCAGAAGAAGGACATGCTGTTCAGCCTTTGAAAGGTCACAGACATTGAACACTCTAGTCTGTAAGGTTCTACTCTGACATAGACAGCATCAGCATGAATTGGAATATCCTTGACAGTGATTGGTTTTGATTTTTGACGTGACACAAAGATGTTAAAGACAAACTGTCTAGTTTACTGGAGAAGAACCAGCAAGAAAAATATGCCCAAGCTATCTACACAAAAAAACCTGGTGAGATACAGACTCTGATGAATGGCTCAGATAAGAAAACAGATAAAATTGGAGATGCTGCAACCTTCTCTACCATTGATGGAGAAGCAGCAGGTTAATGCATCCCTGTGAACTGACCCTTTTAAGAGAAATAGCAGGAAGTGAACAATGCTAGACCTTGTATGATTGAGAGCACTCCTGTGGTGGAGAAGTTAGAAGGGAAATTGATGGGAGACTATGGCCAATGCTTGTGGACTGGTGAGAAGAGTGTCTGACTTTTCAGTCTGAACTCAGAAGTCATCCTGGGAGTGGAAGGGGGTGGGGGAATGTCTGAAACACAACTGGATGCAACATCCTATACAATGTGAATTTCAGCCGACACTGAAGCTTTGAATTCTTAGTGCATCCTGTACCCATGTGAAACCTGTACATAGATTAAGAGGTGGTTGCACAGAGCGAAGGGACACTGCATTGTTTAAAATCAGGGAAGTGTGCCTCAGAGTTGTATTCTTTCTCCATATCTACTCTATCTGTACAAGGAGCAAATAATTTGACAATTTGGACTAATATGAAGATCAATGTGGCATCAGGATTGAAAAAAGACTCATCAACAATGTATGTTATTGACACAACCTTGCTTGAGGAACGTGAAGAAGATTTGAAGCATTTGCTGCAGAAAATCTCACTGCAGTCTTCAGTAAGGATTTCACCTCACCATCAAGAAAACAAAAATTCTTACTGCTGGACCAATAAGCAATATCATGATAGTTGGAGAAAAGATTGAAGTTGTCAGTGATTGGATCCACAATCAACACCCATGGAAGCATCAGTCAAGAAACAGATGGATTTGTTTCATTGATAAAGTCTACTTGTCAAGGATTTCTTTAAAGTACTGAAGATCAAGGAGTTCAGCTTAAAGACTAAGATGTGCCTGATTTAAGCCATGATATTTTCATTACTTCATACGCATGTGAAAATCAGACAGTGAATAAGGAAGAATTGATGTCTTGAATTGTGGTGTTGGTGAAGGACATATGTGCACGACCAAGAGAATGAACAAACACTTGGAGGAAGTGCCACCAGGTAGATTCTTAGAGGCAAAGTAAGTGCAACTTTGTCTCGTGCACTTCGGGCATGATATCAGGAGGTTCCAGTCCTCAGAAGAAGACACCACTTGAAGAAGTAGAGTGTCAGTGAAAGAGAGGTAGTTGGGTTGACATAGTGACTGCAGCGATGGACTTGAACATGGTTGGGATTATGAGGATAGTGGAATAGGGAAAGGTTCTAGTCTGCTGTTCATAGGATTTCTTTGAGTCACAGTTAACTCAAAGGCACCTAAGCAAAACAACCACACATGAGTACCTAGAAGGACCCTGAGACCTTCCCTTTCTACATATCATTAGGGTGTAAAGAAGTCTTGGAGAATGGCGTGAGGAACTTAACAATTTCTAGGTCAGTCCATGGTTTATTGCCCACCAAGGGAGAAGACTTGACCCGAGAGTGGGGGCCTGAACCTGAAAGGCAGTTATGTCTGTGAGGGGTCTGTCACCCTTCCCAGGAAGATGAGATTCTTGATGTTCTCCTTATAGATGACGACTAAGAAGGGTCTGTTGAATTTAACATTGATGGGCAAAGAAAAGAACGTGAATTCCAAACCAGTGGCCCCAGCAGCTTCTGTTCCTTTTTCATCAATAGTCAGCACAGCCTGATGCACTGCCTGAAGGGGAGAAAACAGAGGCCTGTTTGGAAGGGGGGAAAGGCTGGGGCAGGGCCACCCTAGCTCAGCCCTGGACCCAGGGCAGCTGTGCGGGGACCAGTCCCTGGGGTACAAGGGCAGTCTCTGGCCACAGAGAGTTTTAGGTACTTGATCTTGCTAATATTTCTAAATAGAAAATGACAATGACAACAAATAATCTTCACAATCCAGGTTGTGTGTACTATGAGGACGTGCTCATCATGTGGTGTGGTGTGGTGGAAGGAATGCAATTTCCACTACAAGGATGTGAGTTCAAATCCCACTTTCTCCACCAGCGATTCACTGCAGGGAGACTGTTTAGTTTCTTAAAGCCTGGGCTTCCTAACAGGAAAATCATGGCTGTGGGATTGGGCCTCTGTGCTCATTCATTAGTTCATGGAATGACCAGAAGAAGTTCAAGTACTTAGTGTGTGTGTGTGTGTGTGTGTGTGTGTGTGCACGTGCGCTCACCTGGGTGGACCTGTGTAGGTCTGTGTGGGTAAGACTTTGTGAAGAGTGTTTTTGTGTGTACACGTGTGTGTGTGTGTAAAGTGCGCACACATGTGTTCACATGTACTTATTTGTATACGGGTGTGTGATTGTGTCTGCATAAATGTGGTTGTGTTCTGGGGTCACGTTTCATGATGTGTTTTTATGTCTCCTGCATGTACATTTACATGTATGTCTGTGTGTGCATGCACGTGGATAGAGGTGTATGCATGTGGGTATCCTCGTGTAGTTGTATGTATAAGAATGTTTATGAACACATATGTGTGCCTGTGTGCATTTGCACATATAAGCATGTGTTTTGTTTGTGCTTGACTGTGTATTTTTGTGTGAATGCACTCATGTAACTGGGGTAAAAGGGGGTAGGTTTGTCAGAATCAGTGAGATTAGCTTAGGATAAGGCAGGGTTCAGAGCTATTGTACATAGGGTCACTATGCATCACAGTTGACTCAAGGGCACAGAACAACAATAGCATGTGTGTGAGTATATGTGTGTGAGTGTATGGGAATGAGGATGAAAGTTTAAAATCTCTAGTATGACAACTATTGGGAGCTTCTAGTTGGTCACTGCATGCTGTCTTGACCCTGTCCCCTCTTTCTCTGTCTTCTCTCTTCTCTTTCTCTGTCTTCTCTCTTCTCTGGGGACTGTCTCTGTCCTATCTCTCACCCTCTCTTCTGGTCTGTGTCTACACATACTTTCTCTGACTCTCTCTCTCTGTATGTCTATCTCTCTCCCAAAGCCTTTCCTTGATTCCACCTGTCACACTTTCCTTTCCTGACCTGCATTGCTTGCCCTCATGGTATACAACCTCAACTTCTGATGTGAAAGATTATTTCATATCTCTGCTTACCTGGCATATTTGTTTTGTTTTTACCATTAAGTTTTAAGTTCCTTAGGTAAAGACTTTGATGATCAAAGCCAGATGTTCAGTACACACTCAATATTGAACTGAAATTGTTTCTTTGGTGACTATCCATCTGAATAAACTGTTCACATAAGTGAAACTGTTCTTGGTATTTTGGAAAATAGCTCCAAACGTCACAGGGGACGGGAGCTGGAGAGTCCTTTTGAAATCACTCAGTCTAAGCCTAAATCTGGGTAAGCTGAGTCACAAAGAAGGAAAAGTGAGACTGAGGGTCAGTAATGGACTCAGCCACTGAGACTGAAATGGGTACTTCAAGGGGTGCTTGAAGTTCACCTTCCTCAGTTGGCTTCTTGACAATGGAATGAATCATGTTTGATTCCTCAGATGGTCTTGTTTGAGCTCCCTCCCCCTTCCTGAGCTCCAGTTTCCATACACACTCTAATCAAAAGACAAAGGTGAAAGAAATCCATCATCCCCTAGAGTAATCTCACCTTTGACACCTTCAGGGGTGCTGTCTTTGTGATCCCTGAGAGGTCAGCCGCAGAGCTGAAGACATTGGTCACGCCTAGTTTTCCCAGGAGGTCTTTCAGATCATAGTTCCCAGAAATGGACAGTTTGGGAAAGTGGAGCTTAACAGACCTGTTGAAAAGGAAAAGATAATGGAGGCAGTTCTGAGTAGATTGGAGTAAGTTCAACTCCACCACAGGGTACAAGGATTTTCCTTCTGTTCCTAATCCTCCAGCTCACATTAGGACGGGGAATCAGCTTTGGATTGTATAATTTTTAAATGGTTCTTCTATCAGGATTGGTGGAAGATCTATTAACAATCTGTGTTATACAGATGACACAACCCTGCTCGCTGAAACTGAGGAGGGCCTCATGTACTTGCTGTGGAGGGTCAAGGACTGCAGCCTTCAGTATGGACTGAGGCTCAATGTCAAGAAGACAAAGATTCTCACCATTGGACCAATTGGCAGCATCAGGATGGATGGCGAAGAGATTGAGA